TTGTCTCCTGTTTGGACGATGGAGCTGATGTTCAGCTCCCACTTGAGGTGATGAAGGAGACCAGGAAACGGGAGGAATCCACAGTGGTGACGGGGGAGTCACACGGGGTGATGGGGGAGGGCGGGACTTCCTGAGATCCACAACCATCTCCACTGTCTTCACAGCGTTGAGCTCCAGGTTGTTCTGGCTGCACCACGACACCAGACCTGTAGGAGGACTCGTCCCCACCAGGGGACCATGGGTTCAGCTCCTTTGTCTTTCAAAGCGGCAGCAGAAGTCATTCAGCCGGTGAGCCGGGCGGAGGTCGCTCGTTGGGTGGGGGGCTTTGGCTTGTAGCTGGTGGTCCGTCTGAGGCCTCTCCAGACGTGTTGGACAGTCGTTAGCAGAGAGCTGCTGTTGGAGCCTCTCTGAGGACAGTCGCTTGGTGTCTCTGACCGTCTTGTCAAACCTGTGTTTTGACACTTTATACAAGTCCCCGTCCCCACTTCTCATCGCCTGAAGGAAATACAAAATGGAATCGAGCAGTTAGAAAAGAGAAAGAAGAGTAACTGTATCATTATAATCATTATTATTTTAATCTTAAGCAGTGGAGACGCTGAGCGTGGACTCAATGTCCTTCACACAGGAAGTCCGTCCTCTAAAGTCAGTGGGTTCCTCATTTCATCTTTGTGTGTTTTCCTGTGAACTGGTCGACGTGGCGCAGGGGTAGAGAGGGTGTGCAGGGAACTGCAAGGTTGGTGGTTTGAGCCCCGGCTGCTCAATGTTGAAGTGTCCCTGAGCAAGACACCTGACCCCTAATTGCTCCCTGGGCAAAAATGTAAAAATCCATTTGTTAAAAATGTAATGTAAGTCGCTTTGGATGAAAGTCAGCTAAATGACCTGTAATGTAACTGAAATGTCTTGGTGAGAATGTGGGTAAGAAGTTTAAACCTCCAACTCAGATCAACTTACATGAGAAACACGTTCAGGGTGTCAAACCCTCAAACTGTGGCAGGTACCAGGTTTTTGTTCTGAACCGGTTCGTCTTCAGCCGTAAACCTGAAGAAGTGGATCTTTAATCAGAGGCAGTGTGACGTCACCACTTCAGGGTCTGAAGAGAGACGCAGTGAGACGCCGATGATGCAACACTGTGTCTCTGCGATTGGACAAGAGACACCAGCTGACCAGAACAGCTGATTCCATCATCAACAGCACCAAACAGCGGCAGCTCAGAGGAGTGATGAGAAATAAACCACAGGCATCATGGAGACATCGTCTCACAGACTGAACGCACACTAAAGCTTCAACACGTTTGAATCAAACTGCATCAGAATCACTTCCTCTGTCCTCTGAGGGACAAACGTGATGCAAACCTCTTGGATCTTCAGATGAATCTCAAACTCACGGCTCCATTTTGCAACAAGACGACAATTTAGACTGAATATTCTATTCAGCTTTATTGTTGTTGCACAAAGTACAAATACTGAGATGATGAAGTGCAGTTTAAACAGGGGAGCAGAGTGACGTACATATAACATTGTGTAATATAATAATGTACATATAACATTGTGTAATCGAATAATGCACATATAACATTGTGTAATAGAATAATGCACATATAACATTGTGTAATATAATAATGTACATATAACATTGTGTAATATAATAATGTACATATAACATTGTGTAATATGATAATGTACATATAACATTGTGTAATAGAATAATGCACATACAACATTGTGTAATATGATAATGCACATATAACATTGTGTAATAGAATAATGCACATATAACATTGTGTAATATAATAATGTACATATAACATTGTGTAATATAATAATGTACATATAACATTGTGTAATAGAATAATGCACATACAACATTGTGTAATAGAATAAAGCACATATAACATTGTGTAATAAAATAATGTATATATATATAACATTGTGTAATATAATAATGTACATATAACATTGTGTAATATAATAATGTACATATAACATTGTGTAATATGATAATGCACATATAACATTGTGTAATAGAATAACGCACATATAACATTGTGTAATATAATAATGTACATATAACATTGTGTAATATAATAATGCACATATAACATTGTGTAATATGATAATGCACATATAACATTGTGTAATAGAATAAAGCACATATAACATTGTGTAATAAAATAACGCACATCTATCATAGTGCGGAATAAAACACCGCACATATTCCTCTGTGAAACACAAAAGAGCACATATTACAGTGTGTCATAGAATACCGCACATATCGCATTGTGTTATAGAATAAAGCACATATAATTGTGTGTTATAGAATACAGCTCATTATCACACTGTGTGAAAGAACAATGCACATATCATATTGTCTAAGAGAATACAGCACATATTGTCTTGTGTAGAGGACATTGCACCTTCACGTTGTCTAATAG